ATGTTGTAGCACAAGATAATTAGTGTGCAGACCATTTTCATTTATAGAGTGCTCTGTGAACACAAATTAGTTAGCATAAATCAGTTAAATGATGAAAAATTAGGTGTCTATTTGTGACCACTCAGTGTACATTAGTAATATCATGCACATTAATGTTTTGGATATTGGAAAGCAAACATTTTAAACTTAAAATTTGTTATAAAGTTTTCATTAACTGATAAGTTACTTTTAAACTAATTCTAATTCTGATCTATATAAGTGACTTACCTTTAGGCAAAAATTCTTAATAATTACTATATTATTCTATGGTGCACAAGATGTTGTCAGTAACTAATAGATTTAATGCAATGTATTTTTTTGTTTTTGTTGTAAAGCGCAAAGCCACACAACGAGTTATCTGTGCTGTGTCCACCAAGAGTATTGAAACCTGATGTTTTACATTATAAGCCTTCAGACTTCCTGCTAGCCATTTGACTCAGAGTTTATTCTTCAATGTGTTACACTAAAAGTCAGCAATTCTCATTGTTTACCTGAGATTTCCAAATACAGTTATTAGCTTCAAATGCACATTAAGCTCTGAAACGTTTTTAATCACATAAAATTGATATTACTCCTAAATTATTTCTATTTTTTTTTCTATAAATGTTAAAATAAATTAATCAGGTCTGTTGTCTACTGAAGCTAAGTATATGTTACTCTCTGTTTCCCAAAAACAATTAGGACAGTTTTTCCTAGACTTATAACTACTCACAAGAAAAATCTCTTTAATTTGTCATCCATATTATTTTATGAAATTAATATAGTTTCATTAAATAAAGAAAAAATATTAATAACATTTAATTGTTTTATCAGTTAACTTGTAGCTGCTGTCAATAATGTTTCTGTTAGAGTGGCTAAGAAAGAAACTCAATATAAATTTTTTCTGCTTTAAGTTTCTTAACTTTCACATGCAAACCTTTTCTTATTTTCATTATTACACAAAATCCTAAGAAAGGGGGAAACTGATATTTTTTTTTATAATGAGAATATGCAACATTTGTAATATTTATAACTGAGATACTTGATTACCAAAATAGTAAGCACTTTTATATCCAGAAAGTAAGAGTTCATTATATTTATATTTTTCATGTTTGATTACATTTTAGGCACATAATTGAGCATACAAACATACACATAAAATCATGGAAAAAAAAAACCTTTCTATTCTATAATTATTCTATTACAGGTTATTTAAGATGTGAAAAGTCATTCTTTAGAGGTTTAAAATATTTTTTTCTTTTATAACTCTTCACAGCTGGTAGCACTACAAACTAAACCCATAAAAATTACCTTTAGAAGGTTATCAGGAATCCAGCTTGGCTAATTCACTTGTATAAATACCAATACTCTCCATGTCATAAAGGACAAAATAAACTTGTTTCAGAGAGCTTGACATCACACTAACAAAATAGTTGGAGATGGATTTCAGGATTACTTGAGCAGCTTGTTGTTTAGGGAACCCAGCACTAGTAAAAGTGAAATCGAATGAAAAGGTTTAACATAGTCTTGGTGAGATATATTGTTACATATCAGTTATAAATTATACTTATACACAAAATAAAGACTTTAGATATTAATTTTTGCAAATAACATGTTCACAATTTCAACCATAAAAGGGCAATAATAGACTGTGTATACCTCAACACTCCTTAACTATTAGATTTCCTGGCTTAGTTGATCAGATGTTTTACATTTATGTTTGTACATGTGCATGTTTATATATACATGCGTGTGATCTTCTTGAGCATATCTAATATATGAATATTCAAAGCACCACCAGTTTTGAAATATTGTTTATTTTTATCAATATTCTGAATAGGTTGTTAGCACTTTCATAGCTTTAACACAGCTCTTTAGTTAATGGTTCGTCTTATAGTGCTAGATGTACAGGAGGCAATCAAAGTCCTGCACTCTATAATACTAACATTTCACCTTGTGGTATCTATAACAACAAAAGGCCGTGTTTGTATGTGTCTGTGTGACTGCCATAGCTCCAAGAAGAAAGAACCTAGAAACCGGAAATTTTGCACCCATACTAAGTGGACCCTGAGGGTGTGCACCTGGGTTATTATTTCTTATCCATGTACGTACGTGCACATCACATAGTATACCCTGCAGTATATCAGTTAGATTACCAACTTCTAATATATAGGAAAGCCAGTGTGTTTTGGTAACAATGCATTCCAACAATGGCTTTTATGCTATGTTGCTTAGCAACAAAAGCATAAAATGAAACACAACAAAACTGGGAAAATATTTGTTGATTTCTTAATTTAGGGTCTCCATTGATTAAAGACATTTGTTTTTATTAAAAACATTGGTGATATAACAGAAAATACCTTAATTCAGAAATGATTTAAATTTAAAATTGGATCAATACTTTTACTTTCATGATAAATTATATACACTTGCTAAAATATATCAACTTAATAACCTGTGCAAAGCCGAGTACTTTAACTAGTATGTAATAATGACTGGTAACACTTCTAACTGATCATTAGCTGATATATATTTTTAAATGTTAACTTATTTAAAGAGTTTCCAGTATTGTCATCTTTATAAATAAGGAATAATTGTGAGGATATTGTGGTGAAAATTCTTTGAACAAACTAGCTTAAAAGCTAATCTATTTATTCTAAATTATATTCTAGCATTACAAAAAATCAAAAAAGATTATATTAATTATGACATTAATAAAGATTAATGATAATTCCTTCCAGAAAAACTGTTTAAATTACAGAAAGGTTTCAAAACTAAACATTTTAACAAAGTAATACAATCATATAACTTTCTTCATAAATAGTACATAAATGAAAAAAAAAAAAGACTAATAATTACGTAAGTATAAAAAAAGGCAATTACCGGCCACTTCCAATGGAAGGAAGAGCAACAGATTTTAGGTTTTTCCCATCTGCCAGAGTCAAACAGTTTTTCACAGTTTTTTCCAAAAGACCAATAGCATCAGTATCATTGTAGTTGGGACCATTGCAATGGATTACGTAGGTAGCACCGATATTACGACCAGTGCTCAGTGCAACTACAAAGTGGTAATATTGCATTATATTACACACATGATATTATAAATAATTCTATATAACAAATTTTGACTAGTTTGACATTAGAATACTTTTAACATTTTTATACAGTAGACATACATACCGGCAACATTACAATGGGAACTCAATTTGACCATAATGATTTAAAACATTTTTTTATATCAGTAATTTCATAAGTGACTTTATCAGTTCTGTAAATTGATGTAGTGAAGTTTACAAAATAAAATACGAGAAGGAAAAAATAATTCATCATATAAGAAAATCACAAGTCAAGACTAAGATATTCAAATAAACAAACAAAATGAACTCAATATTTATTAGTACTGCCTTCCAAAAGTAAGAGTATGTTCAGTTCAACTGTTGTAACACCAGTTTTATTTTGTCTAATAAACTTATTGTTTCAAAAGATATAGAATCATAATAAATTCAAACAAGGTCCTAAAAAAATTACTTAGCTGGAAGTTGACAATTCATTCAACAATAATTTTATACAGATAAAGGATTCTTCAGACTTCCCTTGCCGTTAATTTACTGCTTTATGTGCCACGTATGATACAGTTAATAAAAGTCAGACAAGCTTGTCATTTTTCAATTAAAATTATTATATTTAGTTACCACATCAGGCCAATTTTATGTGGATCAGGAAAACGTGCATTGATACAATTAGCTAATAGGAAGTGATTACAAAAACTAGAATTTACACTTTGTTTAATAGAAGATGTGAAAACAAGTCTCATTCAGCATAAAGTAACTTAATACTTATAATTGTAAGATGAAATTATCAACCAAAATTATAATTATAACATTTTTTAAAATTCAGTTGCACAAGGCACTATCATCAGAACAACTGGTGAGACAAGAAGTAAAAATTGGCTGTGTAGCCCAACTGAAGAAGCCTTTAACACTATTTTTCATTGACAGAAAACTGCTTGAAAACCCCAGTCAAAATCTATAGATATAAATTTTGATCAAAACATCTGATAACATGTATTCACTTAATTTTGCATGTATAAAAAATATATGATCAAATGAAATGCAAATTTTGGGTGCAATGTTCTCTTCAGGGAATCACTTTGATTTTACAGATATAGTTTACAGTTAAATGTAGTTTATAAAACTTATAAACACCATTCACAGTCTAATCAATAAAGTTGAAATTTCTTCCATAAGCCAGAATTTCCTTTTCTGGAATAATTAGTTCTGAAATCTATTGTAAATAATGTTTAAAACATCAATCTGAAGTTATTTCATTTGGTTATGTATTAGCATCTGAAAAGGTAGCTCCATTGCATAATAACTTCATAACTTTTTTCACAAAATTGAGGAGATAAATTAATGAATGGATGATATTACCACCAGCTGAGTCAAGAGATCCATTCGATGACAGTAGGGCTGTAATTTCCTGCTGGAATTCTTTACCACCAGCTTTCTCTAATGCTTGACCTATATAACAGAGAATGAAGTCTGATGATATAACTTTTTTCTTCCAAAGAACATAAAAGACTAAATTATACGAATTTATAAAAGTTACAGTATACAAGAAGATGGAAAAAAACCCTATAATCTGAGCACTTTTGAAAGGTGGACTGGGAATGCAGTTTCCCCTGAAGAAGAAAGGTCCACCTTTCAAAAGCACTCTTGTTATAGGGTTTTTATCACCTTGTATCATGACTTCTTGAACCAACGTGTTTTTCCAACATTATGAATATACAAGACCCATGTGTGTGTAAGAAGCATTTTCATAACTAATATCAGTCACAAAAAATAAAAATGAGGTTATCACTGCTGGAAGAAGGGTTTACACAACATTAATGCAAAATACTGGCAAATTAGCCAATTCTTGGAATTGTTGTAAAGCACAACATTAATGTATGTGGCATTCAAGGTATCTGCATGATCTTTTTGAAAATATTGCGTCTCCAATTCTAGTGGAATGTCTTGTAATATTGCAAGTTAACATTTTATAAACAACTGCAAGAGTAAGTTTTATGATATTTTTCAATTTTGTTATCATACTTATTTAGAGCTATGTTATCGAATGATGATGTTTGCAGATGAGGAAAATTAAATATTCTTTTTCATTTAAAGGATGCTACACTATGTGCAACACATTACCTCAAAAAATAATAGGCCTGGGAGAGGAGAGCAATAAAATGGAGATCAATGACAATAAAAAATTAAAGCAACATTGATTTACCCTGATAAAAAAATGACAAGATGGGTATGAAAGGTTTAAAATAAAGTACATAACTGTCATTTGTAAATGAGCACTTCTGAGAATCTTACATAAGATATCACTTAGAAACAAGAAATGAACATTGCAGCCTGATGTAGAACCAACTGGACTTATCATAAAGATAGTTGTAAATCACCAAAATTTTGCCAACCTTTATCAACTGTGAAATCTACTGTCACAAACATGATTGAACAAAGAGCTTATTATGAAGAGGTACACTTTCTTTCTGTCAAGATATCTTTAGAAATACATGCATACTAGATCATAAAATTAGTGTAAACATATTTTTTGTAGATGTCATATTTACTAGTAAAATTATTCACAATATTATTATGAGGTACCAATGGTGAAATGTAAATCTTATGATTTCAAAAGTAAACCTCAATATCAAAATTTTTCTATAAATTTAAACTATCAAATTATTTTGTGAAGATATTAATTTTCTGGTGTTTACAGGTGTCAAATGAGACTGGTATTCAGAGAAACTGTTTTACACCTGACAAAGTCTGCCAAATAGATTTTCTGATTTGAGTATTGAAACTGAAAAACCATTAGTCTAAACTGAATTACAGTTTTTCAAGCAATAATTTAACAGACTTAGAAAATTTGAAGTTTCAAATTAAAAACTGTTGGGAACAAAACAGAACTTTGCTGGATAGAATTGTAGAATTGGGTGAGTCAGTACACAAATTTGAATAAATCAGATTTTCTTCAAGCAAAATAAATGATGATAAAATGCAATGATATTTTACACTGGATTTCCAAATATTGAATCATTCAGTCGTTTTTAAAAGCACATGGAATCTAAGGTTGAAAAGGTGAACTACTGCCATGGAAAAGAATACAAATTTGGTAAAAAATTAGTGTCAAGTAATTTTTCCAAGTCACAGTATCATTTTGCATTTTATGACAGAAACATTAAATCTTGAAAAGTTGAACCATTTTTCATTTGAACATCTACAAACACAACTGCTTTCACCAGTCTTTTTGACTGATCAATGCATAAGTATGTGATATTGAAGTTGCTTTATGACCAATAACACTTTTGTTGTTCGGTTTCAATACATCTTTCAAGTATCTGACAGTAAATCATCATAAATCCTTAGGCTTTAAATGATCAATTTTTCAAATGGTTCACTGATCATCAATGTCATGTAAACAACAAAACCTAAGCACTGAGCACCTCATTTTGGAAACTTGTGATTTTGCAAGATTAAAGCAAGACAGTTGAAAACTGATATTGCAAAACTGGTATATTCAATATCACACAAACAATTAGTAAATAATGCGTCTTTTTAAATGATAACAAAAGAAATTATTAATTCTTTTTTTTCAGCTGTGCACTAAAGGTCTTCATCAATAACCTGTAAACTGTAACAAAAAAAAGCTATTTAAAACTATATAACAATAATAGAAAAAACCCCAAAACAACACAGAATGGAAAGTTTGGCACACAACAATAAAATTACTAAATTAATTAAAGATATTGAAAGTAAACAAAATTATGCATATTATTAGCAATCTGGGTTCTTTAAGATATTAGCTCAAATACTAATGCAATTGTTATTCCTATTATGGTAAAATAAACTGAACTTATTAATGAAGTCACAAAAATAACTTAAAAGTATGATCTATCATAGTTACTGGAAATTTTAGAAGGTAAGGTGAAATATCCATTAAAAAAAAAACATCTGAGTGCAGTTTACCCTTCTAGCCTACTAACAGAAATGAGATTGAACTCCCAAAAACGAATTATGAACTTGTTCTGAAAGATATCAGTTAAACCAAACATACTGTAGAAAGTTCAAATCTCACTAATATTTAAGAAATAATCTAGAGTTTGTGACTGGTTTTGTAGTTTTATTATCAATTAGCAAATAAGTATATGGAATTGAAAGTTTCAACCTGAATAGCATGTTATACATATGTGTGTCACATAGCCAAGGGAGAGACCCCAAGGGTTCAGTTATAGATAACATACCTAATCTTGAGCAGTTGACCAGATGAAAGACAGCCTTTCAAAAGCATCCACCAAAAACATGGCTACTCTGAACCAAATAACAGGACTGACTACTAAGGGTTATAATGTTCTCCCACTGCTGAAAGAGTGCAATGTGTTGAGCTGCAATTATGGTGTAGTTATTGGATCTTTCAGCCTGACACATTAACATTTTTGCAACAGGTTCATGTACCTTACATGACCTTGTAACCACCATGTAACCATGAAGGTATACATAGTTCTGAAAGTACTCAATGTAGCTTCAAAAAAATTGGTGAGCTTTCAGTAAATATTACATCTTTTACAGACAAAAAAATATTAATTCTTAATAAAGTATTTTTTTATATATTTGTCCATAAATAAACTGAGTCAGAGTGCTGACTGTTTCGAATGTAAAGTGATTTTCATGTTACAATTAAAAATACTTTTCTTCATCAGAAAATTTTCAAATTTCATTTGCATAATCTTCAATACCTCCTAAATAAAAATCAAGGCCCGGCATGGCCAGGTGGTTAGGGCGCTCGACTCGTAATCTGAGGGTTGCGGGTTCGAATCCCCGTCACACCAAACATGCCAACCTCCGCCTTTGCCTGGTCCCAAGTCCAGGATGAGAAAGGGGGAGGGTTGGGAGTGGGGCTAGCAACTCCACCCCTTAAAAACCAACCTGCTACAAGTAACTGCAACAACACCTTCCATTGGCAAGGTGTTGTTGCGGCCCTATGCTCCACTGGGAGTTTACAGGAATAAAAAATAAATAAAATAAAAATCTAATGTTTTTTTGGAAAATTTTTATATTTTACCTGTTATTTTCACTACATGGTTAGTTGATTTGATCGACCTTGTAACTACCATATAAAATTAGGAAATAAATTAAAATTTCCCTTTTGTCTTTCTAGAATGACTGCAAATTGTAACAGGAAACCACAATTATTTATCCTAAATAGCTTAAAGCTTGTAAAAGTACACATCTATTTATACTTAATTTTGTTTTATTGACCTTTGAACAGTGTCTAACTAATAATCCTGCTACACAAGCTGTAAATCACCCAGCAAATGTGCAGCTCACTTTACCATATCAAGTATAACTTGTTAAGAATTTTTATTATTTTTATTTCCTCATTATGTTTATACACAACAAGCACCCAGTGAAATAACTCCTTCATCTTGGTTGGGCATTTAACACATAATTTACAATTCACAAAATTTACAAAAAATAACTTTTCTGAAACACTTATTAAGGGGTTTAGAAAAAGTTTTCTGTGAAATTACAATAAGATTTAATAGTAAATATACATTTAATAAATAACACTTACCAACTTCTCCACCTAGAAAATAACTTGAATTGGTAGGGTGAACAATCGCATCAGCTGTTATTTTCACAATATCACCTTGAATTACAGTAAGCTGCCAAAGATTTAGAAACAAAAATTAGTTGTTTTCTTCACTTTTTACTCCACATGTCAAAAAAAGAAGAATTCCATATTGCTCATACTACCCAACATACATTTTATATAACTACTTTGTAAATGTATTAGTACACAAACATTTCCTAAAGTAGGTGAACATAATAAAAAAAGTACTACTTTCATATCAGTAAAAAAATTCAGTCTTTGCTTAATATTTAATACTAAATACAAATTAGTCAAACACCTACGTATATTTCAGATGTGATGGACTGTACACTAAAAATATGTACTTTATAAGTATTAAAGACTGTATTAATCTTAAAAGACCTGAATCATTTTCAACCACAAATTCTAAATGATGCAAACATATAAAAGTAAACACAATGACTACGAATAAGCTCCTGATAATATATACTATACTACAGTTGCCTATTAGCTTTATATGCACCTTGAGTAATCATCAAACATGTTTGTACCTTCTGTCCAAGAAAAAGCTTCTTCTCTGAAAGAATTGTAATGCCTCCTTGACCACTCACTGTACTGCCTCCCTAAATGTACAGAAAAAATAAAAAATTATACTATGCACATACATATATTCAAGAATTTAGGTAAAGTTTATAATTACTAAAGGTTGCAAGTGTCCTTTATCAATGATAATTTGTAATGTGAAGAATGTAACCAATGGACATTTATTAAGATAAGTTTTCTTTTTATATACACAGACTGTCACTTATAAGCTGACTTTTAAGACATGGTTTTTTTATTCAACTTGAATAGTGTGAAATGTAATTCTGTAAAATATATACATTCACATTAAAGATTGAAGTTTAAACATCCACTGTCCATATAGATTTTAAAGCTAACTATAGCTGAAAATGTCCAATACTTTCTTATACTACTGACTTCTGTTTGTGGTTAAGATATTTCATGTATCAAAATGCTAATATAAAAAAGTCTTGAATTTCTAAAATACACTCTTTTCCCATCTGCATACTTAACAATATGAATTTGACTCTATTTATCTAGTTCATAAACTCTAACCTCATATGTTCTTTCACATTCTACACATCATGATCTTCGATATAAAAGTAACAAATGCTGAGTGACATAGCTGAAGGGAAAGTGTGTTCATTCACTTTTTCTTGAGGGAATATGACACTTGCACATCCTCACTGTGCACCATGTCACTCTTTAGGCTGGATCCCAATCTCCAAAAATCTATAGTTTATCCATTTTTTTAAGCATTATAGCACTGCACATACATATATAGCTTTCCTCCCACCAGAAAGACTTTGAGATGAATGTAATTATTAAAGATGATTGATCATAGGAAGTAGCAATACAAATCAATACTAGCTCAAGGTGACAAATTAAAAATTGCATTGCCCAGAAGTTGTTGATAAGAAGACAATACAGGGTAGTTACCCTGTTCTGTTGGTAAGAGATACAAGCAGAAAACATACAAACTCTTGTTGATGAAAGATGTTAGAAAAAAAGGATATAAAGAGATGGTACTGATGTAAAATACTGATTTACAAAAAGTAGAAAGTGTTGTTGATAAAAGATACTGGTAGAATTGGTACCAAATATTGCTCAAGTAGGAAAAGTAAGTACACGTGTGGTGACAGAAAAACCAAAGTATTTCACTCTTACATAACTTGTAAGTATTATACTTTATTAGATACATTTAGGTTGTTGTTTTTTTGTTGTGCAGGTATTCTGCATGTAGTTAGTAGGAATCTTTGTAAACTGGTTGTGAAAAGGTTGAAAACATTCTGCTAATCCTCTAGCTTAGACAAAGACTACTTACCACAATAATTTTTAGAAAGGTTTATCCTTGCTCGACCCTATGTCTGTGCCATGCCTTACTGGAGTATATTTATATTAATTTCAAGGGAGTGATACAGAAACTTGTACAACTTAGTATCAACTGGAACTTTATCTCCCTTGGAAATGTATGATTGGAATGGTCACTGCCATAGGTAATCTAGGGTTGTGAGATATCACTCAAGGAACTTTTCTTCTAAAAGTTTGATATATCTGATATTTTCTCCTGTTTCTTGTCTATTACAAACCTGCTTATTCCAACTCCAGTAGTCGTATGAGTCCTATATAATGAACACTGAACCCAACAAATGTGATGAAGACCCCAGCATTCATTTATCTGTGAACAAAATTTCTGTAGAGCGGTTATATTTATTTCAATGAGTGAAATGCTGTTAATGAAAAGTGAAGAAACCAAGAGCTGATGATGAAAGATGCAGAGTAGATAATAAAATTGTTTATAATAAATACCAATAGAGTAGAAATTACAAACTGTTGATAAAGAATAGAAAATGAGTAAACAAAGCCAAGTCTCATTGATGATAAAGACAGATAGTTTTGATTAAGAACACAAGAGGAATAAAAACCACATGTTGTTGATGAAGGATATGGACAGTGTAGGTAGCTTTTCAACCCTTATAGTGATTAATTTGTAATAAGTGAAAAACATATTATGAACTCTCATATGTGAACTATTTCCTCAAAATCTGCTTTAGTTAAAACCTACATACATTATATAAGAATAATATTTATGTAACACACTCATTTTTGTGCAATAAGGCTACATTATCTACAATTAAATGGAACAAACTGTAACAAATCTTGATATTAAAGAAACTAGTTTTGACACATTTGTATATCCTTTTCAGTCTCACATTGTATATGGTGAATACAGTGTAGTTGGAATACTATTATACACTGTTCTATTTCATGAATATCCCTTAGAGACTGAATAAAAACATAATGTTACAAATATAATAAGCCTAACACTAGTTCCTTATTATAAGTATAATTAATTATAATCATGCTTCACCAGCTTAAAAAAAGGCATTCACATCATAACAATTGTTGTTATAACAAATGACTTATATAAATAGCACTCCAACAACTACTATGTTTGTTGTTTCCTAGCTGACCCAATGAGCTCTGTATTAAGTGAAATGCATTGTTGGCAATGGACAGGGTGAACATAGTGTGGTTGAAATACTATTAAATATTCTTCAATTTCTTGAAAAGCCCTAAGGTGTTGAATAAATAACGTAGTGTTAAAAATATTATTGACCTAATAGTAATGTCTTATGACAAGTATAAATAATTATCTGTATACTTTGTGAGTGTGTGTATAATATATACTGGCATGTATTCAGCAAGTAGAAAAAGCACTTCTTTTAATTTATTAATACTCAGAACTAACCAACCCTAATTGTAAATCTGAAGAAATAAACTTTGCACATATAATATACTAATAGCTACCATGATATTCTTACCTTGCCTTTTCCCTTTCCCTTTCCTGGATTACTTGCAGGTTTTTTATGATTTTTTGGTGAAGACGATGTTTTTGCTTTTTTAACCATAGCATCATTAACTGGTTTGCCCAGAGAAGGATCTGTATCCTGGGAAGCGTTTGCAGGTGTCATAAACTTTCCACCCTTTTTCTTAGCCAAAAGTTCAGGGTGAATTTTCGGCAAAACTCCACCAGATGCAATAGTTACTCCTTTCAGAAGCTATAACAATAAAATTTTATAAGACTAATTTCCAGGAAATAATTTCCAAAATATTTTTAAGAGCCAAAAATTGTGTAATGAATTTTAGCAGAAATGATAATTCAGTGATAAGAGAGTTCTAATAGCAATAACTAAATTTACAAATTCACTAGATCTACAATTAACTTGTCATGCCTGTAGTTCATCTTTTCAGTTACTTTTTGTCCTCATAGTTGCACATTTCACGAATATTTACTGTTGTGCCCATTTCTTCTCAAAGACAAAAATGTAATTAAACACACAGCCTTACATTGTACTTTGCATAATTTTATACAAAAACATGCAAAAAATCACATAATTTCACGCGTTACTATAGTGATCAGGCTACAAAATATCATATTTGAACATGCACACAAACACCAAAAGGTAGGGAAAAAGAAAGACCAGCTTCTAACTATTTTATTGATCTAAGATATTGATAAGAATTTTAATATTAATTATAGAAACCTTACTGGCATTCTTCTAAACGAATTATGTGACTCACAGTCACTTTCAAGGCATAAATCTGATTATTTGAATTAAGAAAACACAAGGCCTGCAGCTTTTTAATGAACAGTACTGTCAACCAAAATTGGTACTCAATTAAAATAATTACATTTATTTAGATATGAAATTGTTTTTTATATTATGCTCATGTTTAAATCATGAAAAGTGTAATCTTCAAACAGTAGAGTCTAAAACTATACAAATACTTACAAGGTGAAGCTCCTCGTCATTTGCAATTGCCAAAAGTATGTGACGAGGTGTTATTCTACTTTTTTTGTTGTCTCTGGCAGCATTTCCTGCTAACTCCAAAACTTCAGCTGATCAGAAAGTAAAATAATAAAATAAATTTTGTTGCCAATTTATCATACACTACAACATCATTGAATAGAACATTCATTACTAAAAAATACTCCTTGTTTGAAACTTAATAATTAAGAAAGAAATACAGATTTTAAATATTGTATATATTTAACCCCATGTTTATGTACTTTTGACGAAGCTATGTATATGTTACAGCCTTTGCATTTGAGAAAAATCATTAATTCTTAATTAGCAATGTGAACAAAAGCCAACTTCTACATTCTAACATTTTGGTTTCACATTCAACCTTTTAAACAGAATCTCTAAGATAGTATGGTGTTACAAACTGTTGTAGCTACTGTAACTTAAAAATAAAAAAAAGAAAAATATCAAAACAATATTGTGCAGTTTTCCATTTTTTGGAGCTGAAAAAGTATTATATAATAGAGTAATATAATCTTTATAAATTCAGAATAATTTTCACAAGTTTTTCCAGCTGAAAATTGGTGTAAAGGGGCCAGATTTTGACCCCAAATTAACCCTATTCGAAACTTTAGCTAGCCACAAGTGTTCTCTGTTAATAAAGAAAAACAAAATTTAGTCATTCTATTTTTGTGAAATAGACTTGTGATCTCTGTCTTTTTAGAAGTTTATACATTGTCAGTCAGTAAGACTGTTACTTATTTCTTAATAACCCACTAAAGTACAAAATCTATTCACTATCAAAGTTTGTCAAACAGAACAATTACTTTTTAATCATGTTACTTCAAATAAAAGATCTTAAATATTAGAAACAGAACACAACACAAAATATGAAAATGTAATGATAACAATGAAATTACCTTTCCCCAAGAGATACTGTTTTCTGTATCATCAGCTTTAAAATGTAACATTGATAAAACTCTTTCTCAAAATTATTTTAATTAAGTCTTTAGAAAGTAAATGAGTAAAGAACAGTTGGTATAGTATCACATGTCTAATTATTTATTTTCTATACACTTTACTTCACAGCATAGTTTAAGTTAGCACTAATAATTTGTTTGTAATGAAGTGACAATAAAATTTTATACCATATTAACACTGAAAAAAAAACCCAACTATGTCATTTGTTGTAGTACATTTTACATGGTGTTCAAATAGGTGGTTCTTAGAGTTATAAAGTAATTATAAAGTTAATATTGGTTTTAATTTTGTACCAGGAATTATTGGCAAGAAACTTTGATGACTTTGCTCATCAATATTGTAGACTATACAGGAGTCTGTTGTACTACAGAATATAAAATATACATACACTAGTTGGTTACAAAAATTGTAAAGGAATAAGGTAAAATGTTTTTAATGAATATATTTCAAACATATATCAATATTTTTCAAATAAAGAATTTAACTGTTACAAAAAAAATAGTTTTTTAAGAGTCTTGATCTAGACTTGTACTTGAGGTAAACTACTACTTTCTTAAAAGTTATATACTCGTAGAATAAGTTGTTCTGTTATGTGGTACATATTGGTAGTTTGAATCATATTAACTTAACATAACCTATGGATAATAAGGGACCATTTAATCTTTCAAGGTTAGTCTTCCATACCCACCCTTGGGAAAAATAAAAATCTAAACCCTCCCTTTACTTTCAGAAAATTATCAATTCCACTCTTAAACTTTTGCAAAGTGTTGGCATCCACTACTACCAACAGCAACTCATTCTAAAAGTTAATCATCCTGTTACAAAAAATAAAATAGTTTTAACTAGAGTCTAGCCTGCCTTTTCCAAACCTTACATTTATGTTCTCTTATCCTATTAGTATTATCTTTAAAATATATAATAAAGAAACCATAGGCCTTAATCCTAGCAATCCCTTAGATAGTTTTGTAAATTTCAATAAGATCACATCTTACCCTTAAATGTTAAAGCTTTTCTTAAGAGAAAATAAGTTAAGAGATCTTCACTTATCCCTATAAGGTAACTCTTCTGTCCATGAAACCATTCCAGTAATCCTTCTATGAACCCTCTCCAATAAGTTAATATCCTTTCTTAGATTAGGATACCAAAACAGTACAAAGAATTCCATGAGAGGCCTGACTAGTGAATTATGTTGAGACAATTACCTTGTTTGAGTTCTAATCAATGTTAATAAACACATCCTAAAATTCTATTAGTTTTACAATTAGCTACAGAACACTCCTTTGATGGCTTGAGTGATATATCCTCCATTATACCAAGATCTTTTCCTTCAATCATACTACTGAGTAGGTTTCTATCTATATTAAACATGTGATCAAATTATGATAAGCCAAATGCATTACCATGCACTTACTACAATTAATGGTCATTTGCCAATTATTTGTCCAATTTACCAATAGTTTTGAGTCATTTTGTAGTACCTCAACATCCTTAGTACAGTTAGGAATACCCAAGAGATTCATTTCATCAGCACACTTTATAAATTTATAATCATGCCCATATCAATATCATTAAATGATTAATGTAACTAAGACTAAGTGCAAAGGCCAAGCACTGACCCTTGAGCTGAGTACTTTAACAGTAACAAGAGTCAAGTTTAATATAGGGTTATGAATACTAATAGTCATATTATTATATATATTATTAAATAACAATAATATTATTCTGATTACAATTACCAGTTAAGTATTCAATAACAGCCGCTAAGTATACTGGAGCTCTATCGCCGATTCGAAGATGATGAGTTCCTCTCCTTAAATATCGATGCATTCGTCCTACAGGAAATAACACACCAGCTTTGACGGACCTCGATGTTATTTTGTTTCGCTTCTTCATAACTCGTCCAGACATTATAACTTACTTTAATTTTGTGTGAGATATTGGTAAATAAAATTACTCTTCTTGATTATACTAATATTATGTTTTAAAACTCCTTGTTGGTGTTAAACTAACGCACTCCTACCGATGAGTTTCTAAACTATATAATATATACGATTACAAGTAACATTACCAACTGTTTCGTTACAGAGTACACGAGTCCGTGCATGATATGAAACTCTAGCGGTGGTTTTCTCAACAAATTAACTTTAAAAGTGTAAATAATTTCAGAAAAATTATGTTACTTAAAATATATATATATATATTTAAATGTATTGTAAGATTCTATATATTACTTACATGTTAACGAAATTCATAATAACAACTTGTTTTAAAAAAACAAAAACGAACTAATATTATCGCTGAGGTAAAAAAACAAAAGAATGTTTATGAACATTCTACTCTGGTACTATTTCATTTATTTATTTATTCTAACAGGATATTCAAAGCTACCACAATCAAATAAATTTATAAACTGCAACAAGGGCTTACAATGCTAAAATTCAGGGATCGATCCCGGAAGTGGACATAGCGCACATAGTTCATTGTGTAGCTATGAGCTAAAAACAAACAAAACTAGACAATGATAAATTTAGAACAGTCTAAAATATTAAAACCTTTATTATTTATAGTTTAATAATACATTAAATAAAGACATTGCCTATATTACTTATATATAGCAATGAGTTTTCTGTTTTGAGAAGAGAACTATATAAAAAACATATAAGGAAAATTAACTTAATTTGTTTGTTTAATTTTTCACCAAAACTTACACGAGGGCTATCTACACTAGCCGTCTCTACTTTTTAAATTAGAAACTATAGTGAAGGCAGCTAGTCACGCATCCATCGCCAGCTCTTGTCAGGCCGAAAAGTAGGACGTAAGAATCACTTTTATAATTCATTACACCCTCAAAGTGCGTAGCACAATTCGGGGAGGTGGTAACAGGATGCTAGCCACGGACCGTCATATTCACAGTTCAATACGTTAACACTGGATCGCGTAGCTTATTTTATTTTATTAAAGTTGTTAATTTGTAAGTCACATGTAGATACGCCTGTAAATACAAGTTGTTAGGAATATAAACTACAGTACATATTTTCCAAAAATGTATTTTTTTTTTTGCTAAGGGACAGTGCCATTTTAGGTCTCAACATAATTGCCCTGAATCCCATTAACCTAAAGTAAAATTTAAAACTTTAATTTTCTAACAAGTGTCACAATAGAAATGCTAAGCACTTGTATTTACCCCGTACTTTAGGCGTTGATAACTAGTTTAAGACTACTATTTAGAATTCCATATATTTCCTACACTATTCACAAGAATAGCGCTTCATATAATCGAGATGATGCAGTGTTTTTAATACGTTTCATTAGCTTTGTCTTATATTGAAAACAAAATACTTTTAATGTTATAGTTTTAAGCACTGAAAGCCTTATTAGAATGAGAAATTTCACTCTAGACTGCAGATATTTTTTCTCCCATTTCTCTTAATTAATTCATTTTGGATTTCAAATCAGAGGTGTTGACAAGTAATATTTTTAGTCTGTTTTATATGAACAAAAAGATTACAAGTTACAATTAATTTTATGTTATAAAGCAATTGTTGAAATGATCATTACAAACACTCATCACCCTATCTCTACAGCCGTTAAAGTACGTCTTGTCTGGATCGGTATTTTGGTCGTTGTGCGCCGTAACGTATGAATAAATGGACCTTTGAACCGGTATTTAGGTCGTAGTGGACAACCTAGGAGAGTCAGGTACAATCTAGACCTCTTCCTCGACTATGTTTTTTTTTTTTGCAAATGCTACACGATAATTCACGAGAATTAGCGCACAAACAATAATAAAATTCGTTTCACTATTCCTATTACCCTCTTCAGGATCATGCCCATGAAATTTATCTTATCTCATTTCGTGCTATTTACCACTTCACTCAGTTTGATGGCATTATAGTCCACAAAACGGTTCGTTGGTAAATGCCACCTTTCTCTTGATCACATTACTAGAGGTGTGTTTAACACAAATATAGGATACGTTGATCTAGGCGATATTGTAACACCTAGTTAAGGATGACTTATTTGCTAGAGGATAGAGTTCATGAACATATATATATATATGGATTATAGGTGGATTTACTGGTGTAAGATGTTGCTTAGATACTTCAATGAAGTATCTTCGTGATTTTGAGGGTTTTTGGTATTCTCCGAAAAAAAAAAAAAACCGATGAATGTGTTTTTGACTGCTTCTATGATATGGTTAGTTCCGTATTTGTAGGTACTATTTCTAATGATTTTGGTATGTCTGCGCGTAGAATATTTATTGCTTGAATTGTATTTGTGTTAAGTTGCTCTATAGTAGATCTCTTGGTTTGCGACCGTTTATTTTGTTTGTTTGGATATTTATCTAGTAAGTGGTTGTGTACGTGCTGTTTCTACGTAAGAACATAAAGGTGAAGGCTGTGTTTCTCAATTTGTGGTCGTGTTATTAGTGTCGGTAGTAGTTCGTTAAAATACTATTACACAAATGTTTGTTTCTGAATTTCACGCGAAGCTACTCGAGAGATATCTGCGCTAGCCGTCTCTAGTTCTGTAGTAAGAAACTAGAGGGAAGACTGAAAGAACGAGCATGTTTGTTTCAGTTTATATGCACCAATAAAAACTTTAGCCAAGCTGTTAATATTCTGATGATACATTTTAAGAAGAATCACAGAATTTGTCTAAATAAAACTTAAGTTAGAGTAACATCAAGCATCTAACTTATCTTTATTTATCTCTACCTATCTGTTTATATGGCTCATGAAGCCAGAAAAGTTTCACCCACGCTACTCAGTGAAGAAGGTTTGGAAAAACTCTAAAGTATATTGAATCATTTAGTATTTAAATTAACCTGCATTTGATCCTAAAATCAAAGAACTTTGTTACATAAATTAAAAAAAATTTGAAGCCACAACGTTTAATTTCAAAGTTAACTCAATCATGTAGATAAGATTGTTTGGTTTTGCACAAGTCTTTTACTGAAGTTGACCATTATAAAATTGAGTTATTTGAGTGGAAGGCACTTTATAAGTGAAAAGAGTTGAAGAAAATGACTATAGATTTTATTCTTTGTCATTCTTCTTCAAGTGAATTTTTAACACGTTTTTTTTTGTTTTTTTAAGATACTTGCATAAAATTATGCAAGGGCAATCTGCATTAGTCATCCCTAATTTTGAATTTAGAGACTAGAGGGAAGGCAGCTAGTGAATAGCACCCACCACCAATTATTGGGCTACTTTAATAATAATAATAAAAAGTGGGGTTTGACCGTCTCTCTTATAACGCACCTATGGCCCAAACAAACAGGGCATGAATTCTTTTTTGTGGCAATGAGAAGTGAACTATCCAAGCAATTTTTCAGTTTTTTTTTTTACTTTGTATTAAGCTCACCAGACATTCAAGTTAGATGTCATAATCATCGAGACAAATATTATTTATTCTTATAGCAGAGTTAATTTTGGAAACCAGGTTCACCAAAGCAGCAAGTACAAGTAATTACAATCACATATATGTTTTACTATTCATATGCTCTCTAACCTCCCTACGTGTTATCTACCAACTAAACAGATGTTTACTTATTTCTTTTCTCATCATTACTAAACTCAGACATTTTAGAAACATTGCATGGCATTTTAAGGTTCACCTTGCAAATACAACAAGTTTAATCTAGTTTCAAGTCTACAGATGTAAAAATAACTAAAATGTTATTTTTTTGCTTTATGGTTTAATGTCTTTTCAATCATGTTTTGATAAGTAAAAATATTTAAAAATTCAACTTAACGAAAACATTTACTCATTTTTTATGAAAATAGTTATTTATAAATTACCAATTTTTATATGACAGCCCTTTTAAATACAAAAATATCTGGCTGGTTGTTGTGACAAACTATTTAGAATGATCACAAACATAATGACATAATTATGATAAGAATATTTAGCAATAACAAACATAACATAATTATGATAAGAATATTTAACAATTACATGGAATATAGGGTTCACATCTTTCACATTTCAAATTATCTGCATGTTCACAAAATTATCCAAGTATTTTCAAACTGTTCAGAGTGACTTGTGCTTATGTAAATTGCTCTATTAAATTTATATGATTTTAATATTTTGTAAATAGCCAAAATCTGCAGGAAGAAAAAACTAAGTGCAAGTTTAAAGCATTTAGGTTTGTAATGAGTACAAGTTTAGCAATGGTGTTACAAAGTTTGCAGATGTCAGTTTGTCATGAGTAGATATCTCTTTCTCTCAAAGAAATAGTAAGAATTAGCAGTACTATTTTAAGTTTAAAAACAATTATTTTATTGAAACACGTTATAGACATAATTAATCAAATTTTGAGTCATAACAGAAAAGGACATGCGTATATCCAATCAAAACGTTTTATAAATGAACCCATTTGTCAAAGCAGTTGTTTAGAAAATAACACATTTTGGAACTCTGATAAACTTTTAAGTTTCATTTCATTCGTATTAATTTGAAACTTTTTTTTTGCCAACACAAGTAATTATTATTTCAAGTTGAAAGATAATTCAAGTTCACTTATTGAATTTATTATCGTTACTTATAAGTGAAAGTTTAAAATATTTATAAATAAAACTGGCAGTAACTGTTTACTTGTTATACAATTTTAAATTTCAAGGAGGATGAGGCAAGAAGGCCTGATAATTATCAATCCTGGCCTGCGTGAATACGTTTGGAGGAGGAGAGAGAAAGAAGAAGGAAAAAAAAAAGAAAAATTATATAAATATAGTTGTTTTATACATAATAAACTTTATTCATTTCACTTAGGTGTGCTTGGAGTACAACATTTTAATATCAGAGCTAATAAAATGATGTATAAGCACCCTCTTTAAATGGAGTATTTCATTAATATAGTGTGTGTGTGTGTGTAGTGTGTGTGTGTGTGTGTGTGTGTGTGTGTGTGTGTGTGTGTGTGTGTGTGTGTGTGTGTGT